TAATCCATTGCTTTTCAAACGTTTTCACAAAATACTGGAAGAAAATAAGCATGACGAAGTCCATATCCTTAAGATGGATATCGAGGGAGGAGAATATTCGGTTTTTTCCGATTTACTATCTCATGCAAATGGAACCAGTCTACCTTATCAAATATCTTTTGAATCGCATTGGTGGAATCGTGACATCTACCACGCATTGTTGCACGAGTCAATGTTTTCTCAATTATGGGATGTAGGTTATAGGATCCTACAACATGAATACAATGGATATGATCGTACTTGTATAGAATGGACACTAATGAGAGTTTTCTGCTAATATCCATGTAAAAGTAAGTCAGAATAAATCTGATTATAATCGAATTGTTTTGTTATTAAAAATGATTTATAATGGCAGTATTATAATCCAAATTTAATCGGTTTAAAAATTATAAAAAGATCAGCTTTGATTGATTTTATTAGATAAATGATTATAATGCATTTTTTTATCATTTAAAATCTAATTAAATGTGGGTTATGAGGGCATCTATAAACTATTTTTAATCATAAAAAAGTCGATTGAAACTGATTAAATATTTGGGCATGCATTACAATCGACTTTTAAAGATTAAAAATTGGATGAAAATAATGCTATGTTAATGAATTTTTAATCACAAAAACAAACGATTATAATACGATTTTTCTCGACATTTTTTATACGAACAATTCCAACTTAATATATACTAACTATTCACCGATTTTAATATATTACCGCATCTTTATCAATGATATTCTATTATTACCTTCCAAGCAGACATCAAGTAGCTGACGATGGATACGACGAGTGATTGAAGCTTGGCAAACTATTGTTTTTTTTCGTTCTGTCCAGACTTCGAGTCTCTCGGAATGCGTCGAATATCGAGCTCTAGGATACATTTTCCCATCGTACATTCACTTTCGATTATTCGAACACATGTCGATAACTCCAAACCCATCGAAATGTCGACTACTCGAAAAGATACTTTCAGTTATTCGGTATAATATCGAATAGTCGAAGCCTATCGAAACATGATGTGGTCGAAAACATTATTCTATCGCACATTCATTTTTGATTGCTTGAACACATCTTGATCTGTCGAGATATATCGAGAATTTGACTTCTCGCAGAGAGAAGATCTACCGAAAAGATACTTTCGAATACTCGTTTTTATTTTTATCACTGAAAACTTCTTTGATATTCTGTTTTCGAGTGACTGTTCAATTTTATTTCATTATCCTATCGCAGAATTTTTTATTAGTTAGTTGATTTTTTTATAGATTCACTGTTTTTACAACAGAATGTATCAGATTCAACTAAAAACTATAATCGGAATATGTACACATTTCTGAAGCAACAATAATCATGAGAAACTATGAATTATTGAAAATCTTGAAAATGCGTAGTTCTTCAAAACGCACATAATATATGGAAAAAAGTCCTCGGCAATTTTCCTATTTATATAGATAGGAACATTGCCAAGAACTTATTTTCCATACCTTATGTACGAGTACTCAGTAGCAAAGAACTAATCGATAGAATAATTTTGAACGATCAATTTATTTTTTTCGGCCTCAAAACTATCAAAACAACTGACGATTTTAAATTGAAAGATAATACTTCAGTGAAACTCATCATTTTTCTATTAGTTACAATATTTCTTTCGTTATATTTTTTATATAGTAAAATTAATTAAAATAGAATTTAGGCATTCTTACATCTATAAAATTTCATATAATATTTGAACAAATAAAACAATTTTATTATTTAATTTCTCTCTTACCAAAATATATTCCAGAAAGATATATTTCAATCGAAATCGTGTATCTTCTCAACGATGTTTATCTATAAATGAATTGTTTAACTCAACAATAATTAATTATCCTTCATTTTGACGTATAAAATATTATCATTTACTATGTCAAGAATATAATTGTCTACCATGTTTTTATGATCTTGGCAGGTTTATGTGTTTATATACAAATTAAATACATCTGTTTCTTCAGTATTCGAAAGAATTTTTTGGATCTAAAAGACGATTAAATTGGTCCGTTCTCATTAAACATGAACGCGATCACTATTTTCTCGTTACAGTCATGATCGTGACCGTGACCATCAGTCATGAAAATTTCATTGATTGTATGAGTACGATCTGTAATAAAGCGGCTATCGATACAAGTGGTGCATAAAAGTGCATCAACTTATGCCATTAAGATTCTGCTTTACTTGATAAGTAGAATAACAAGATATTTAATCAATGAAAAACAAAACAAAACAAATTCTATAGCGAATTATTCAAAAAATAATACAAAAATTTCATTTGTGTTGGAGATCTTTGATAAAATAAAAACTATTGATGTAAGAAGTGAAATTGTAAAGAATTGAAAATCTTTCAAATGTCGTCCTTGTAAAAGGTACATAGATAAATGAGTCTATAATTTACTTCTAGACTTAAATAATAATATTTTAACATACAAACATCCTCAGCAACTCCCGCAGACATTTACACTCTTTTAGGAAAGTGTTATAAGAAAAAATTATTACAAAAAATGATCTAATTCATCGTAATTTATTTCACAAATAAAAATCTATGTGTCTATTAACGTAAATAATTTGAAATAAAGAGAAAATTACAGCTCAGAAAAAAAATTTAAAAGACTAATTTAGTCTAGTCTTGTTCATACTTGTCTCTAATTGTCATACTAATAAAATGTATTTTTTTTCGTGTAGTTAACATGCAAATACACACATGTTAACTTCATTTCGAAATTTACAATACAAATATTTGCTCCTACTGCGAAATGACACATCACTAAAATTATTCTTCTCACATTTCTGTTTAAAACACTACTATTTCTTTGCAGCTCTGTGATTAGATTTGAACATTACTTGAAAAACTTTTGTTATAAGAATAAAATCATGAGAATTTCCTGTATCACTAGAAAAAATAACTGACTGCATTAAAACACAGCGGAAATATTGAAATTCTTTTTTTGGTAGGTGACTTCATGGACATTTTGTAGTGCTGTTGTATGTCATGGTGAATCAGATTTATCAATGAATAGAAATCATTTAATAATATCTTGTCTAGACTCATGATATTTTGATACGCAAGTTGATGGCTTGCATTGTTAAGAGTGTTTAACTTCTCTGCTATTGAAAGTTTCAGAATTATACATATGTACTGCTGAAGATTTACGTAGATGATCTTTTATATGTTTGTGATTGTGTTTTCCTTTTTCTTCTTCATTCTTTACTGCTGCTGACAAAAATGAAATTACAAAAAAAAGTCAAATACGAGCATACTAACAGTGATTACGAAAAAGCAGATCTTATTTCAAGTAACTATAATTAAGTAATAATCGCTTCATTTATATGGTGATATTGCTGAGTGTCAAGGGATTAGATAATAAGCAATCATCGACCACCTCATCTCCAGCATCTATTAAGGCAACGTACACAACTGCGAATACTATTAATACGCACTCAGTTATTCTACAATTGGGTTCGTTCCCTGTAGGACTTTCAACTACCAATTGAACGCCAACAGAGTGTAGGTATTGCTGTGGCTGTGGATACAGTTTTAGGTATCGGTGCGACTGTTCGCCCCATGAACATCGCATATCCACCCACCCGCACCTACAATAACATCATCCCTAGCACAATAAAAACGTTTTCTCTCCCTCAAATATTCAGAATCCAAGAGGAACATTAATCACAAGCAATCATAGATATGTTGTTATGTTATACTCTGAGCGAGAAGTGCTTAAGTGAAGTTACAGTAGAAAATGTTCAAAAAAAAACCATCGGTATTCCTCATGTTCTTTTCTGTCAAAATCATCATGCTTTCATCTGATCAGACATCCTAGAAATGCTATAAATCGAGTTTTATGATTTCCCACTTTTTGATGTCCGAAACTCTGGTTTAATAATATCGTTCAATAACAATGGCAACTAATTGCAACCAGGTAGAAACAATAATGGGTATTGTATAAAACTAAGACATCTCTTGGTCGTCGCAGTTTTCGAAATAAGACATCTTCATGCGAGAGTATTGACTGGAAATTTCTGAAGAATGTCCCATTCGTGCTTCACATTAATCCTTTGAAATATCGGATAATCAAGTCTGATTGAGCTATTCGTAGCAAACTGATGCATAGTTCCGTGCAGTTCCGCCACTATCGAACGCTAAATATCGTCTATAATATGAAAGCGTTTATTAATCTGTGAGAAATTTGATGAATGCCTGAAGATTGAAAATGGAACTGTTAGATTTTGCTAGAGTACAGTGTGACGTTCGCAGTTGAATATATTGAGTATTAGTATTAATTCTCACTGCTTACTTGAATCGATTGTTCATATATGAAGTTTAACCTTCCCGTATCATTTCTTTTTATCATATGCTTTGTCCTTCCCTTGTCATTTCTTTGTATCACATGCTTTGTTCTTCCTTTTGTCATTACTATGCATCGTCAACCGTCTCCCTTCTTTTTTTCTCTCTCTCTCCTGGTTGCATACATAAATGTGTGCTATGTATGTGAATGATGCAATTAGTGATATCAAGAAGCTAAATAAAGTGTAATTTTATCTGCACTAGCGACTTCTCTATCTAAAATCGTCACATATTGCTTCGCATAAAATCATTCAGACACATGCCGCTTCTCTCAGTTAAATTACCGATGATACTGTTTCCATCCCATTCCGTTCCAGGATAGAATAGGATTTGTTTCACTTTCATCAACCACTATACGATATAGAAACACTTAAAACAGCTGTATATTGATGTAAGCATAGACAAGCAGCTTGAAGATAACTAATAAAGAGAAAATTTTTCGTAAGGGTATGCTGTCGGTATCTCTTTTTAAGATATGCTTTTGTAGTTATCAAAGTGCATGCTAATCTATGTAGAATTTCATATTATTACCTTGCAAGGATGCAATGAGACTTTTCTCGTCTTTTTCTTTCTTTGTCAGTGATACTGTTTCAGATGTCTCGCAATGCTTTAGTCACTGGTGCTGCAAGAGGAATTGGACGTGCAATTGCTCTTCGCCTTGCTAGAGATGGTCTCAATGTGGCTATCAATGATACTGCAGCAAGATCATTAGAGCTCAATAGTGTTCGACAAGAAATTGAAACAATCGGTCGAAAGTCTACCACCATCATCGCTAATGTTTCTGTGGATAAAGAAGTCAAAGCAATGATGCAGAATGTCGTAAAAGAATTGGGTGGTTTGGATGTAGGCATCCTTTTTTGCTTCTGTTCTTTCATCTATTTTGACCTAATAATATAGGTAATGGTGGCCAATGCAGGAATCGCTCATGTAAAACAGCTTATTGATGTCACTGCAGAAGAATGGGACAACATGTTTGCAACCAACATGCGTGGCGTATTTCTTTGCTACAAAGAAGCTGCCAAAGCTATGATAGCCCAAGGTAAGGGAGGCAAAATTATTGGAGCTTGCAGTGTCGTCGGATATAGGCCGTTTCCGATGTTGAGTCCTTATTCTGCGAGTAAATGGGGTGTACGTGGCCTTACACAAGCCGCTGCCATGGAATGGGCGAAATATAAGATTACAGTGAATTCTTATTGTCCAGGTATGTTTTATACTATTTTATTTAAAATACATCAGTATTATCTTGCAATTAAACCAGGAATTGTCGGAACTGCGATGTGGGATATGGTTGACGAAGAATTAGCGAAAATTGAAGGCAAACAAAAAGGAGAGGTCATTAAAGATTATTCAAACAAGCTGGTATTACTTGGTCGTACAAGTGAGCCGGATGATGTAGCAAATTTTGTATCCTATCTTGCAAGCAAAGATTCTGACTACATGACTGGACAGAATGTTCTCATTGATGGTGGAATTCAATTTTCTTAAATTCCAACCATACAGTAGTGAATAAAATTTTTTGAATAATTTTGTTTTAATTATACCTATAGATTGTAGCAAAACTATACTCCCTATGTAATCTACAAATAAATGAAGATTTTATTATTCCGGAAAGGATTCTAATCATTTAATCCATAGCGATGTTAGTAAGATGTGAAAGTCGATATGAGTGTAAATGTTGTGAAACAGGAAATTACACCCACACTCACTCTATCGAGTGACCAAGTCCCATTGTAAAATCTTTTTATCACTACGAACGGCTTCCTCGTAAGACTTTTCTTTACAATATTAATTATCAATAATGTATTGTACAAAGAAACATTTCATGTATTCATGTTTTTATGAAAACCGGTTTATTTGTATGTTCACAATGGGTCTTATGAAAGAAAAAATTGTCCAATAATCAAGATTCAAGATAAAAGTGAATGGAACACTTTGACTTCAAGTAAATAAATATTTCTTCATCATAAATGATTGCTTTGTCAATCATCATCATATGCCTCGATTCAGTCAAAAGCATGTACAAATCTTTTCTAGTTTAACAAAAGATATCGTTGAACATTATATATTCTTATTATTTTCTTATCAAATTTACTTTACTAAGAATTACAGCGTTTCGTCTGTTTTGAAATTCATTTTTTTGTAATGCGAAGAACTACCGGCTCAATGATAATGATTGCGATATGTAGTATTCTGCAAATATCTCTACGCATATAAATTGTATAATCATGATATATTTTTTTTAAATGTGCCATGAAATTCTCTACAAGAATGGTAATGAGAAATCCTATTGAGTTTTCTTATAAGACTAAAAGTGAAGCACTGTGTGTTAGTGAAATGTCTCATTAATCTGAGAGAAACAAAAATGTGAATGACATTGATTATTTTACATATATGTCGGTAGTAACAAACCATACAACCTTAAGTTGTTTTCTTTTATGTGTGTCATGGAATTCCTAGTGCTTTTACATAAAAAAAAGTCTTTAAATTGTGCTCATGAATTTTTTCGATGACAAAAAGTAAAGATCCTCGTGGTACTGTTACTGCTTACTTGGCTAATAAGATGCATCGTGCTACAGTTCATCGTTGGATACAGTAATTTTATCAATATGGTTCGGTTGATACACATAAATCATCCAGAAGAAGACGAAATGGACGAACCAAAAGATTAAGAGAGCGTCCACCAGGCCACCACCCAAGCTAGTTGCCGAAAA